GGATATGCATGTTACCGAAGAGCAATTCGAGGAACAACAGGAAGGACAATATGCGAATTTATCAGAAGGACAAATAGTTAAATTCGAAGAAGTCAAGTTTGAAAATGGAGAACAATACGAACAGGTGTATGAACAGGTAAGGCTCTTAGCAGCTTTATTTTAACATTTCTGATTCTGATATTATTATCAGCGAGGAAATGTTGAAGACAATATATGAAGTAGTCCTATGAATAGATGAATCTTATTGATTTTTAAAAATTTCTTTTGATCTTCTAGGAGTATGAAGAAACTTCGAGAGAAGCATCGGAAGCTACCGAATTAATTATGAACATAGAAGATTCCAATATGTACACCGAAGAAGTTACGGCCGATAGTATAGAGTCTGGCGCAGAGATAATAACAGATGAAATTATGACGAATGATATTTTGCAATCTGGCACCGCGGTGGTGCTGCAAAGCGAAGACGACTCGGGGAAGATTCAAGTGATACCCATACCAGTGGTATTATCTCTGCCCGACTTGTCCGACACAAACACTGAAGTTAATCTCCCGACCGCATCAATCATGTATAACAATTAAATTTGATTTCACAGATTTTTTCCTGTAAATTGAACGTATTGATAAAAGATTCAAGAATTTTTAAGTTTTTTGGATCCCATTTAATCTCCTTGATTGAATATTGTGGTAAGTATATGCAAGTAATATCATGAAGAAACAAAATTTTGATTTTTCCTAATTTCTATAATTGAGTTCTAATTTCTATATATGAAGGAGAGAGATTCCGTTAAATCTAGGAAATATGTGATATAACATTTCTTAAATTTGATAGTTTTCTAGATTTCAGGTTTTTCAAATTTTGTATTCTCAACTAGAAATTTTTTAAATTCTCATAGGGTTTTAACTTTTATATCGTTTAATCATAATGCATATATCTTTTAAATTATAATGCAAGAGATACATAAAAAAATTTATTAGTATCTATCAGTATTTGTCTCATCGTATTTATCAGTCAATCTGGATTTGAACAAATTTATGTATAAATACTGATATATGGGACCTATAATTTAACGATAAATGATTAAAAATCTTTTAATCATCAAATGGAGCTATTTTCAGCTCCTTAAATGCGAAAAATTGCGTATGTGGACGCAGGTGGGATTGAACCAGATCTATAAATTGTGAGTCAATCGCACCGAGTGGCAAGCCATTTGACGCCTCGAATAGTTCCACACTATCACGAAACTAATGTCAGCGAAGACATTATTTCTAGGCATTTCTTCTGCTTCTTCCTCTTATGTTTGACCTCAGGCCTGTGTTACATCTCTCTCATATACTTGTGGTGTACATGCTGATTATTTAATACACAAGCATATGGGACTTACTATTTTAATGCTGGTTTCGAACGGCAGATTTTTTGAGATATTTCTGTGCGAAGACTCTCCCATAGATTTTCCGGCCTTTTTCGAGAGGAGATACGAGCGTAAATATTTTAGTTCCTACCAGGATCGAATCCGAGATCTTTGGCATGATAGATCAATGCTGTCTACCATGTCACGCTCGAGCTCCTCTCGCCATTCAAATAAAAATAAGTCCATAGGATAACAGGATCTTAATAATTATCCACATTCTATATCAACAGAGTTACTGCGAAACATTAACAGACGCAAACTCTGCTTCATTTAGCTATATTTACAGCGTTTTTCCTTTATTTCAAACTTTGAATGCATTTGTCCATTAATTTATTTCAAATACAGGAAATACAGTTAAAAAGAATAGTTCTAATAATAAGATTTAAATATTTTTACTAGGCACTCTTGTATTTTTTTCCTTGCCCAAATTTCGAATTTTTTTAAATCTATCTCTATATATATTATAGAAATTATTTATTCACTTAAACTCAGAAAATGTAACATAATACAGCTTAAAAAACAAACCGCTTTTTAGTACGTACTTTGTTAATGCTTATTATATTTTACAAAGATAGTTAAAAAGTGAACTCAGTTTATATATATATTAAGTCTTGAATAAGATGTAATGTACTATAAGGAAATGCATATTTTTTAAGGTCACGAATTATTATTCTAACGTTCTTTCACTTTCTTCAGAATAAAAATTGATTTCTAAATAAAACAACTATATGTAAATCGATATATCTAATTTTACGAGAAAAAAATTTGCACTTTTATACATAATATGTATTTGCAAGTATAAAAATTGAAGAGGAAAAAAGAGGAGTTAAATATAGTGATGGATGTACATATATATATATTTTTTTTAAGAGGAGGAAGATTATATATTAATAAAATTAATGTAAAAGGCACTTATAAAGTTGGAGAAATTGTTTTAAAAATAAGTAGGCGTACATAATGTATGACTAAAATTAACTTTTATGTTAATATAATTATTATTTATGACAAAATGATAAATTTTACAGCTGAAAGAAAATTGAAGAGACATCGATACATATGTATATGTATTTGTATGCCGATGTTTTTTTGGCATTCCAATTTGAAATTAAAATTATAAATATATACGTCACTACTCGTTAAAGCGTAATTATTTGCTGCAGCTATGGATGACATAGCAATCAAGTTATCTCAATTTTTTTTTCTGCATTATTCAAACAAATCAGTATTTCTCAACTCGTATACGACAAAATATATATATGACATACGAAGACTTTCTTTCAGATTTATAGTTATAAATAGAAACAGCCATAAATCGTGAATTATTTATAATCGTAATTGTTTTACAGTCGTATAACAATATTGTGTAATCTTGCAACGAAATATCTTTTTAATGTTAGGAATTGAAATTTCAAATATCTAGATTTAATCATAAGAACTTATGCATTTTTTTTCACTTTAAAAATCTATAAATTTTTTATTTTTTAAATTCTTTAACTACTGCAGCAGAAATTATACTGCAAAATATGTAAAAAAAATTAAGGAATATAAAAACATCAAGAAGCCATCATGATCAATATTTTATAATAATAAAACATTAAGCAATAATATATAAAATGGAAATATATAAAAAATTTTTTTAATTTATAAATCAGATTCTGAAAAACATATAAAGATTTGATTGTATAAATGTATCTAGTTTTGTCATTAATTAAGAATTTAAAATTATTTTAATTATAATTATTAACAAAATATACAAAA